CTAAATACATAGTATTCACTATGACACAGATTTTTCTCACATAGAGAAGGTCTGAAATTTTTACATTCACTTAGATGTTATAAAGAACTATACAGACAAATTGATATGTATACCTCCATTCAATTCAACAAGGGACTTGTCAAAAAGGGATTTAATATCTGGGATATTGTAATAAAAAATTTCTATTGTCAAAAACATATTAATGGCTGAAAAGAAGATAATGCCACCAGTTTATTTTGTGGAATCACTTAGTTTAAGGGTAAATGTTGAATTGGAAGATAGGATCAAATGAAAACTTAGCCAACACACTTCCAAGCCGGACTGCTTAAAAAAAGAATGAAACCAAGATATCTTTTGTTTTTCCTTGATGCATGGCTAGAGGGCGAAACTTGATCATCGAGAATGTAACAGAAGAAAAAAGAATAGTTGTACTCTTGCAAGGGCTTAACAAATCTCAACCATTTTCCTTTATGGAGTCATTGGTCAAGAGACCTAGGGGCTCAATAGTTTCATTTTGTCATAATATGTGGTTAATCTTTCAGGAACAAACTTGGAGTTAGGCAGAATTCGAAGCTTCTAAAATGCAGAAGAGAACCAAAAGCATAATAAAAATGCCTTCTGCTGGAATTTCGTTTTGATAGGCATCTTTGATAGGTTGGTATGAGCTCATAAGTCTCTAGTAGCTTTTTCTTTTCAACTAATCTTTCTCTTAGAATCCTATTTCTTTCGCTTACAGGCAACACACCTCAGTGCGCTAATTATAATACTTACTTTCCTATGAAAAGAAATGGAATATAAACAAGAGATGGAAATGAAGAGAAAATTAGGGTCTTATCCAGAGAATATAAACAAAGTTGGCAATACCTCATCGCTTGTGGCCAGCTCAAAGCTAATGCAAGCAAATGACCATAGATCCACGAAGTTGAGTACTTGGATCTAAGAATAAGCTCTGGACACCAATATTGCCTTGTCTGAATGTCATTTGGAAACTGTTTATATGTCCAACAAGCATTGCCAAAGTCAACTAGTTTGCACTTTTGTCAAACAGCTTCCCCTTCTGTGGCTTCGATTTGCTTGGTTAGCATCCTTGACTACATTTTTGCTGTTTATATCTTTAATTTCAGAGCTACTTGTCTGTTCTTCAGCACAATTCCCGTTTTGATTTCTCATCAACATTAGAATCCTCTGTGGAAGGTATTTTACAATCTGTTTCATTTTCCTCTGTGGCTTTCTTCCCAGAGCACCCTGAGCTGCCTTCTTAGCCTTTCTTCTTATTTTCTTCTTTTGATTCTTCGTCAGATCTCTGTTCAAACTCTTAGCTTTTGAAGCAAAAGACACAGAAGCAATTTTGTCTTTACTGGCTGGAAGAACAAGAGGAGCACCTGAATTTCC